AAGGCAATTCCTAACAAAGATTTTAGGTGAGGCACAGGCATACCCCCAATGGGTCTGGCAGAGCAGTGGCTTCCATTTCATACTTGGATGCATTTCGTTATACATATCATAATTTGTGGTTCCGATTTCTCAGTATCATGTTGGCTAGGATTGGTAGAAGTTGCAGAAACATATAGGAAGCCTTATGGGAGTCCTTACCCTTTGAAACACTAAATATGTTCTTCACTTCAATTCCCAGAAGCTTCAGCCAGCAAGGTCAGGGATTCTATTAAAATCTGAAACATCTAATATGACCAAACTAGAGAGCCACTGCACTAAACTGACCCAATATCCAATTCCCTTGGTTTATCGAAAACAAAATACAGCCCTCATTTCTGTTCTGCTATAAAGGGTCAGCAGTGAACTCATGGCTAGGAAGCACTTCCAATACTTGGCTCCCAACTGTGAATGTTCTCCCCATCATATCTTCAATAATAATGTTGGTCCAAGGAATCAGTGTGTGTGTGTCAACTATAACATAAGATGCACAAAAGTGATTGATCAGGCAATGTCCAGGGAGATGGTTAAGCCTGGGACTTTTGGTTACTGTTGCATTTTTGTTCAGGCTTGAGCTATGCAGATGCAGAGATAAGAGAGAAGAAGAGAGAGACAGCCTGATTTGCTTCTTGGGTGCTAAAAAGAAACTCTCTCATATGGGCAAAGAGATACTATTTTAAATCTCCTTGAAAGGACATTTAGTAAGTTGATGCAACTGATCGTATTGTGCATATGTTGTTTTGAATTAAGAAGAGTAAACGACTTGTTCTTTACTGTTCACCTGCGTGGCATTTTTTTTTTACCCTGGCCAGGCAGTGTGTGGACTGATCCAATGTGAGCTAAAAATGGTTTATTTTATATTACGCCACAAATAATATAATAATAATAATACTGTAATATGATATTGCTAACTTGAGAGAACCAGCATAGTGTTGTGGTCTGATGGTTGGACTGGGAATTTGGGAGTCCAGGATTCAAATCTCCGCTCATCCAGGAGGGCCAAATTAGTGACCTTGGACAAGTCACACTCTTTAAGGATCTCTGAGGATGGAAAGGACAACCTCATCTGAAGAAATATTGCCAAGAAAATATAGGTTCACCTAGTTCAAAATGATTTGAAGGTACACAAGAACAACTTCTTGAGTTGATGTTGAGTTGGGAACCACCCTCGTTTCCATCCTCCAAATGCCTGTGTCCAAACCTGTAATCCATTAGATTCCAGAGCTATGAAAACACCAACTTAAAAATAAACTTGGGAGGGGCGCCATTAAATGTGAGCCTGGAGTCACAATCACCAACTATGACCATGGTTTTTCGCCTTTGGAAGTTGGCATCTTCTTCTTGCCTTGCAGCTTGGCTTTCTTGCAAGCCAAGACAGGTGTTTTCCTCGATCACCAGGGGAACAATTCACCCAGTCGTCATCACACCACGCACGTGAGTCTCCTCCTTCTTTTTCCACGAATCCCAATGAAATTTCCTTATCTGGCAGCCGTCACTCAACCACAGTGTATTGTTCACTGGTGCAATACCATTAAAGCTGGCAGCCAAACTGCATACTTTGCAAGAAACTGGCTTCCCTATGACCCCCTGAGGGGAGGGGGGAGTCTGAACAAGTGTGCCATCATCAAATATGATAAAGAAAGAAACATAAATCAATGATCCATCACAAGGGAGAGGCCTTGGATGAAAGGTTGCATTCCATAGCTAGGTGACTATGCTCCTTATGTGTCAAGACGTTGATGAGTATCATTTGGGGCCTCGTTCTGAACCCCAAGAAACCCCATTAATTAATTAATAATGGTGCATGATCTGCATTTCAGAAACCCTGGTGTCTTCTTACTATCATGAAATGCTTCAAGCCAAGCCTTTTATTGGGCAATCACTCAATTTCGTTTACAAAATATTTATTGGGGAACAGATGGACCCAAACTCCAGCGTTTCCCATTGATTTTGTTTCTTCTTTTTGCGACAGAAAATGTGTTCAGGAGTTAAAAATTGAATAACTACACTGTGTCTTGAAACTGACAGGCTTCTTGAGACATTCTCCATCTGGCTTAGCAATTCTGTTTAAATGAAAGGCAGTAGTTTCTCATATGCTTTGGTTTCAATAACTCCCATGATCTTCAGAGATGTGCGTGTTGTTGAATGGGTCCCAGTCTTAAAGCTGGTTATTGTGTTCCTCCAGCAAAGGTGAGATCAGATCTCTATCACTTTTTTTTTTTTGGACTAGAGTGTTATTATGTGGGGAATGGACATATCAATTGTTCTTTTTCATTTAATGGGAGAGACCATAACCAGCAGACAGAGAATATAAAGCCCTTAGATTAGATTAGATGTAGATTGTGTGTAGTTAATGTTTTTCTGAGGCTTTGAATGTAATAGTAATATGTTCTCTTTTGTTCAAGAAAAGTATATTTAACTTTGTATCTTTATATGTAGGTTTTGTATTTTAATTATAGTTTTTTTAATTATAAGATGCCATTGATTGTAAGACGCACACTAATTTTAATACCACCAACAGAAATATTAGATATAGATATATAGATACACACACACACAAACACAGATTATTTTAAGTACTACCCTATTTTTAGAGCTGTTTGGGAGGGGGAGTGTGTCTTAGAATCAAATAAATATGGCATTTACATCTCATGGAAATTGCTCACAGTAGTGGATTTTTCATATCCTGTTGACTGACAAAATTGATGCTTCATTACTGAGAAGATAAATTTTATCCATCTGTGATACAAGATTTAGCAACATTTGAAACATTTGAAATAATTTAAAAGAAAAAAAGTACAAATGGATCTATACTTGGACATATTTTAACATTTCATCAGCTTTTATAGAAATATGACTAACGTGTTATTTTCCTCTTCTTGTGGTTTGAGTTTCCTGCTTTTGTTCTATTGGAACACGAGTGTATGTAATGAGATCTCATTAATTTTTTTAACTGCTTCTTACATCTTAAATAAATTAAAAATTTTGTCCTTTGAGCAGGAGAGGAGTTGCCAGACACAATGCCATCATGCTTTGGTTCACAAGCTAGCGAGAGCCCCATAATATTGGTCTTCCTAGTAAGCTCAAGTAAAAGGACAATGCTGCATCTTCTCCTAGCTTGTGTGTTCTTTCATTAATAACTTTTGCCACCATGGCCACTATGACATTATTGTGACTGGAAAAAAGACTGCATTTTTCTTTAAGGTATGTGAGGAACATGCAGGGGCGACTCAACCCATTACGCAAAGTAAGCATTTGCAGTATAGTTGATTTTCCCAGGGGCGCTCTTGAGGCGCTCTTGGGGGAAAATAGACCTTGACATATGCGAGTTGTAGTTACTGGGATGTATAGTTCACCTACAATCAGAGAGCATTCTGAACTCCACCAATGATGGAATTGAACCAAATATGGCATACAGAACTCCCACGACAAACAGAAAATATATATCAGTGATTGGTGCGGTGGGGTGGAGGGGCAAAATACTGTTTGCATACCATTGAAAATTAGCTGGGGCCACCCCTGGGAACATGCAACTCGATTTAAAATTTGATTGTGCTTGCTTTCTATGTATTTTCTTAAAGCAATGATTCCCAACCTTTTTTTGACCAGGGACCACTTGACCAGAGACCACTTGAACAAGGACCACTTTGACCAGGAACCACTCTCTAATATTAGTGCCAAAAGGATTACAAATCAGTTTTTGGTCAACTTTAGATTCAGTTTGGTTATTTGGGCTGCTGATTCAGAAAATTACATTGGATAGATCACATCAGCTCTAGTTTCTGATACAGAACATATGCTATCCAGTCGTCGCCATCTGCTCGCCTACAGACAACCATATTTAATAATCTAGAGCTGATATGGATACTAGTCAGCCTCTCCCACATCCCTGTTGCCTCGGCACTATCAGAGGGTTTCGTGAGACCAGTTGCTCTCATTGCCACTTGGTTTTGAGGCAACAGTGTAGTAACGGTGAAGCCAAGACCATATTTTCGTTCTTGGGGACCACTGGCGGTCCACGGACCACAAGCTGGGAACCACTGTATTAAAGGAAAACGAAGCCCTTCTCAGCCATGGTTGATATTCATAACCCAACTTGCAAGGATCTAGCAGTAGGGTGACAGCCACCCTTATTCTACCTATCCATCTGCCCTGGTCAAAAGGGCAAGGGCAGGTAGTATATGCATGGAAGAAACAAAAGAAGTACTGTATATACTTATTTATACATCTAGAAAATTAGTTAAAATTTACCCAAAAAATATGGGCTTACTTATCCACGGGTCAATATAATTGCTCTGCCTTAACTCTTTTTAAAATAGAAGCATCTCAGTGGTGAGAGGTGCAAGCTTAGTCAATCCAATGAGAATCTAAAAGAAGCACCGACCCCTTCTATTCTCTCTATCGTGATCCTATTTTTGATATTTTTTAATGTCTGTGTGGAAAAATGATGTCAACAGCAGTGCTTTCCCCTCTTGACTTATCATATTACAATCCATAATTTTGACCATAAACCTGCTCTCAACTTATACATGAGTTATGTTAGCTTTTAGAGTAATAGACCAAAGGACAGTAAACAGGAGCAAAGAGCAGAAAGCTGGAAGCATTCCTTCACTTGTCCTTAAGTGGTTATCCGCATTGTACAAATACACCACTTTGATATTATTTTAGATGTCATGGCTCCACCTTTTCATCCAAAAGGATCCAAATATCTGGGTAGGGATAGAGTTAGTGTTGGGGTTAGGGATAATTGTGTCTTTTTGGTCTAATCAGACCGAAGATTTTTGGAATGTAATAAATTAATATTTACAGGCTTTATCCCTTGCAATCTTTACTCCTTATTAACACGGCAAGGATCAAACCGGCTAAATTATCAGGAGTTCCTTTTTTTGCTTTTCTGCTAGGTCAGCAAGGTCAATGTTATCAAATCAAACTGTGAAAGCCTTTTAAGTTCCAAATAAATTAAGATGACTAACTGTGCCTCTAACTTACACATCCAGAAAAATGCCACATTGTGTAAGACTGATGGGGTGTGGAAGGGCGGGGTGACCCAGGCTGCCTCCTCCTGCCATGGGCCACGGATGCCTATAAAACTCAAGACCTGCAGGGACCAGATAGTTACAAGAGGAAGATCTGTAAGGATGGCAGGACTGGAGAGAAGATTTGTCAGCACTGGGCTGCTCGTGCTGCTGGTCCTCATGGGTGAGTCCTGACAGGCAGTCTTTGTGAGGAAAGATACATTGATGGAGGCTTGGGTGCATCTACACTGCAGAATGAATGCAGCATGGCACCACTTTATCTTCTATGACTCAATGCTATGGAATCCTGGGAGTTGTAGTTTGGTGAGGCATAAGCACCCTTTGGCAAAGAAGGCTAAAGACTAAAGAGCTTGTACAACGGCAACTTCTGTCGTTCCATAGCATTGAGCCATTCGTTCATTCAAACCTACAGTGTGGATAGATGGATGGGTGAGAATGTATGTGGTGCATTGGACAGAGCGTTGGACCTGAATTTTGGAGACCTCAGCTCAAGTCTCTAAAGAGCTTGGATCAACTATCCTTTCAGCTTGATAGACCCTACTTCACAAAACCATTGTGAGACTAAAGTGGGGAAGAAGAGGTCTCTGTGATATCTTGAGTTTATCGCAGATTGATTTTATCAAATGAGAGTTGTCTTGATATACTGTTCTTTGGATGTTGCGAGTTTATTTAAATTATGTCCCATTTTATCCCACATATTCAATTTTTGGAGGGCTGTTTTTAGCAATTTCATGGAGAGTATGTTTATCTGAGATATTCTGATGGTTTGACTAGTAAATGTTCTCCTCTTAGAAATAAATTTTACTTAAAGCATTATAGTGCAACAGTACTATTTCATACTACTTCATAATAATTCAAAGAGAGAAATCAATCAATTAATTAATGAAGGAGAAGTGAAGAGAAGATAGCACATACTTAGAACTGATAACAAACTCAGCCAAAGAAGTTGGCATATTGTTATGAGAATTACTTCAAACTGATAACAAATTCAAGGTTGGGAGTAAAATATTGCACCTGGTATTGGGAATTGGCAGTAAATAGTCTGGGATGACAGAATTTTAATTGAATTTTATCATCATCAAAATAGTTTATTGTATGGGCCCAAGGCCAGACATAAAGCATCACATGCACACGATAGTATCCTCGGAGCAACAGGTATCAAAGATGCTAAACAGAAACCATAACCATGCTCCCACAAAGAGCAAAAACAATGCAATGAAAGTTAACAATAATTAAAGTTTTTGGGAGAAGGTCCAGTCAACCCTTAGAGTGTGTGTGTGTGTGTGTGAGAGAGAGAGAGAGAGAGAGAGAGAAAGGGGTGGGGGGGGGGGGGAGAGAGAGAGAGAGAGAGAGAGAGAGCCAAATGCTGGAAGTCAAAAATTACAATAGAGGCTAGATCGGTAGGCAGATAAAAGTGAACACTCATCTATGAAAGCTTTGGCTCTTTTAAAGATGCACAATATCTGGATGGCATAATTTGTTCTGCCATTGCCAGCTGCCATCATTCAGCAGCCAACAGCCATCTGATGAGATCATAAGTTACCGCAAAATCCATGACACAAAAGAGTGTTACTCTTATTGGCTACTCAACATGCACACATTTGTTTGGCAATGCAGACATTGTTTTTTGGTGGATTTTGAGGTTTGTTGTACTTTCTGATATGGTCAACAGAGACACCACTAAATATATTTTCAGGATATCTTTAAGATGTTACAAAAAACATAGGGTCCATCTACACACTGTGGGATTAATGCAGTTTGACCCCACTAACTTCCATGACTCAATGCTATGGAATCACAAAAGTTGTAGTTTTAGAACCCTTCTTTGCCAAAGATGGCTGGTGCCTCATCAAACTATAAATCCCAGGATTCCATAGCATTGAGCCCTAGCAGTTAATGTGTTAAACTGCATTCATCCTTTAAAAAGAGATAGAGAAGCCAGGAAATGATAACTGGATTGATGGATGAATGGATGAGCAAAGAAGAAAGATTACACAGGTAGGTTGGTACAACTGCAATGTCTCATTCGTGACATGAGAGATGCTGGAGTTTAAACACAGAAGACCTCCTTTAAACTTCAGACTAAAACCCAGAGAGGATCCACATGCCCTGCTGACATTGCAGCCACTCCATGATTCTGTTCACAAGTGAACTTTCCAATGTGAATTGACCACAATAGGATTTTAATGATGTGCTGCCTTATTGGTTTTCATCCTCTGTCTCTGAATGGGTTTTAACTGGTGTTAATTCTATGTGTTTAAAAAAGACTTCGATAGGATTTGTGCCAATGTTTTTGTATGTAATGCCTGTGTTGGTATCAATAATTCATAAGCCACTTTGAGGGCCAGTACCATGGAAATAGTGTGATATAAAGGAAATAACAACAATAGAGGGACAGTTTCAATGCCAGGCTAAGGGATGATGGGAATTGTTGTCACTTAGTGTGCACCTACACTGTAGAATCAACACCACTTTAACTGCTATGGCTCAGTATTATAGAATACTGGGAATTATCATTTTGGAAAGTCTTTGGCCTTCTTTAGCCTTTAGTTCTTACCACACTTCAATTCCCATGAAATGTGCAAACCTGGGAAGGCATTGAAGATGGAAGTACTTCTTCCAGTCTTGGTTGCATAACAAGAGTCAGGGCAATTGATGCCTTGGCAGATTTCTGTATGTGGGAGAGTATTCATCCTCTGATTCATCTATGGACTTGAGGTAAAGGGGACAATAGCAGAGGGCTGAGAAGTTCCCTTTTTGGACTGCAGCTTGCCCAGTGCCCCAGGCAGAGAATTGTTGGATGGGAAAGCTTGGATGTGGAGGGACTACTGAAACTTGTGACGTTTAAAATGGCTCTTTCCCACAAAGCTCTTCCTGTGTCTGTCACAATCGAATGATTTAAGACAAGCGTTTGGGTTAAGATTGCCCCATTTTACTGTTACCCTCTGAATCAATAACAGGAGTAAGCCAGGTCATCATTTCTTTATTTCATTAGGATTGCTACATCATCAATGTCTGCTTGACTTCCAGAATTGCAACAAATACGCCCCCCCCCCCCCTATGAAGAAAACTGAGAAAGATGCTGCAATGGGAGGGCTGTCAAATTTGCAGATACCATATTTGGTTCCAAGCTGAGATTGTTTCCCTTGATTTCCCAATCATAGCAATGGGACTTTTGGCCCAAATATTAGTTGGGGTGGAATGTTCACATGGATTTCTACCAAGGTTTGGTTTGTCTCGATCCAGTACCAGGATGATATAATATCACAATAACAAGTTCAAGTTCACTGTATTACAGTCAATGACCAGTTTTGAGAGAAGCGGGACATAGTATCACAATAACATGCAGATATAAAATTTCCCATAGATTAGTGGTTCTCAACCTTCCTTATGCCATGACCCCTTAATACAGTTTCTCATGTTGTGGTGACCCCCAACCATAACATTATTTTCGTTGCTATTTCATAACTGTAATTTCACTACTGTTATGAATCGCAATGTAAATATCTGATATGCAGGATGCATTTTCATTCACTGGACCAAATTTGGCACCAATACCCAATTCACCCAAATTTTAATACTGGTGGGGTGATTTTGTCATTTGGGTACTGTAGTTGCTGGGATTTGTAGTTCACGTACAATCAAAGAGGATTCTGAACTCCACCAACGATGGAATTGAACCAAACTTGGCACACAGAACTCCCATGGCCAACAGAAAATACTGGAAGGGTTTAGTGGGCATTGACCTTGAGTTTTGGAGTTGTAGTTCACCTATATGCAGAGAGCACTGTGGACTCAAACAATGATGGATCTTGGCATGAATACTCAATATGCCCAAATGTGAACGTTGGTGGAGTTTGGGGAAAATAGACCTTGACATTTGGGAGTTGTAGTTGCTGGGATTTATATTTCACCTACAATCAAAGACCATTCTGAATCCCACTAATGAGAGAATTGGACCAAACTTCCCACACAGAACTCCCATGACAAACAGCAAATACTGTTATCTGCTGGTCTTTGGCAACCCCCTCGCAAGCCCCCCCTCCAGGGGTGCCAACCCTCAGATTGAGAACGTGGAGTTTTTTCCTGCTTAGTTGCACCTTTTTTTTTCTCCTCTCACCATTTCATGATGGCTATTGATACACTTTCACCGGCCACCATTTCATTCTGTAGAATACGATTGGTTCTTTGTGCCCAAGGGTTCGGCACCTATGGATTCCACCATCCATGGCTTGAAAATTCCCAAAAGCAACCCGTGATATTTCCATTTTATACAAAGAACACCATTGTATATAGAGAGCATGCATGGATTTTGTATTCATAGGGGGTTCTGGAACTAAACCCAGCAAATACGAAGGGCCTACTGTCTTGGGATTTGGAATATAGAGAGAAATCTTTAGAACTCTCAGCCATGGAGTACCTCCCCAAACTGCAAATCCTAAGCATCCATAGGATGTAGCCAAGGCAGCTGAAGTGCTATAAATGTGTAGCATATAAAAGAGGTCCTGATCTCCAGCTATTTACATATGATATCCTTTAATATCTTCCCAAACCAACTTTGAATATTTCTTGCCTAAGCAAACCTATGAAAATCCATGGGGTCACCACAAGTCAACAGGCAAGATGAAGACATATGTACACCTGCAGTCTCTTCCCATTCACTCATTTGAATTTCTGTTTAGATAGTCCAAGTCCAAACATTTCACCTGTAGTTTTGTGCCGAAGGAATGTAACTGTTTATTTTTCATAAAAGAGAGTCCAGCCTTCCTCCTTGGAAAAGGTCACAAGGCCACAAAGGTTCCCCTCTGGCTCAGCCGTACAACCTGTTCTAAATTCCAAAGCTCACCCTCGCAATGTGGGAAATCCTCATAAAAAGTAAAGTTTCTGAAATAAATACAGGGCACTTGTATGCATTTTGAAAATTGTATGAGTTTTGGAAATTCCTCCTTGTCACTATCATCCATCATCATTGCATTACAGGGAATGATATTCAGGTTGCTTTAAATTTCAGCCACAAAGTCAGCACTTGCCCTGTAAAGTTCTTGTGACCCAGATGATGATGATGATGATGATGATGATACTTTATTTATATTCCGTTCTATCTCCCCGAAGAGACTCGAGGCGGATTCCAGTCACAAAAAGGCAAACATTCAATGCCTGAAT